GTGTATTTGTAATGACTTTGCTACTATTTTTTTTTTTTTTCTTTTTGTGCTGGTCCTAAGACTTTAACTCTGGGCCTGAGAACTGTCCCTCAACTCCTGTGCTCAAGATTTACACTTGAACCATAGCTCCACTTCTTTGGTACTTAAATGGAGATGAGTCTCACAGACTTCCCTGGCTTTGAGCTGTGATCTTCAGATCTCAACCCCCAGAGTAGCGAGGATTACAGCTGTGAGGTACTGGCACCTGCTAAAATGTACGCTTGAATAAACTATATTATTTTAGTGTATGTAAACATCAAGGAAATTATACAGTGAGATTAATGCAATACAAACATCTACAGAGAATTTCAGAACTTTTTGTGACTTTAGTAGTTTAATTCTATGTAACCTAACTCCTTGCCAATTATTATTTTATGCATGTTTTGCTCAAAAGGTCTCCAAAGATAAGTTTTCAATTATCTGCTTGCATTTATTATAATAGCTGTTGCTATGTGATAAGCTATTAGTGCTCCTGGAAACCTGACATACTTTAGATTAATGTGCTCCTCATAGAAATGTTAGGATGTGGGAATTATTATCTCAACTGAGCAGATAATTGCTTGGTAACATCCCAGCAAAAAACAAAAAAAAAGTGTTGAATGAAGTTACTTGTCCAAAGTCCTCCTCCTTGGCCACGTCCCCTGCTAACATTCAGTAAACGGCAGAACCAGGACTCAGACCTGGCTCTGCACCTCCTCTTACCACTGAGTGTCGCCAATACTCACATAAAGAAAATGTATTCTGGGGCTGAATCATGGCTCAGGTGGTATAGAGTGCGTGTCAGCAACTACAGGGCCCGGAGTTCAAGCTCCGTTCCACCACCTCCACCACCAAAAAAAAAAAAAAAAAAAAGTATTACAAAAGGGGGAAACCTACTTCCTCCCTCTCTTGGCCTTCCTCTGTGGAAGTCCTGCCTGCTGTGAAGACCTGCTCCTCGGCGGGCTGAGCTTGCCTCTCCCACACATCTGCGATGGGGCCTGTCCTGGGAGCTCAGTCCTGCGGTTTAATTTTCTTGAGAAAACTCACAGTAGCAGGTGTCCCGGGTGGTGTGAGTTTTCTGTAATCCTCTCACCTTTACAGACCTACCCAACCAGCACAAAAATTCACTGCTCCTCTCCTTCCCTTGCATGGTTTTGTTTGGTTGTTTTGTTTGTTTGTTTTGCCTGTCCTGGGACTTGAACTCTGGGCCTGGGCGCTGTCCCTCAGCTCTTCAGCTCAAGGCTAGCGCTCTACCACCTGAGCCACAGCGCCACTTCCAGCTTTTTCTCTGTATGTGGTACTGAGGAATCGCCCCCAGAGCTTCATGCATGGGAGGCCAGCACTTTACCACGGAGCCACGTTCCCAGCCCTTGCAAAGATATTTTTAGAAAGCATTTGCCAGAGTCCTACTGTTTCCACCATGCGAGTGACTCAGGCCTAAGGGAGCCCGGTGACTCAGGCCTAAGGAAGCCTGGGCTCCACGCCTGGGCCTGCTCTCGTGAGCCTTGTCCCATTCTGTCTGGGCTAAGGCCGGAAACCACCATTTCCCCTGTTAGCAGGGACTTGCCCGAAGTCCCTGGGCATCCGACCAGGTGAGGAGGCTCAGCAGCTCAGAGTCCTGACAGGATCCCTTCTCCAGGGGGATCCCCAAGTCTGTGGCTCCTCCCACCCCCATGGAACTGAGCCGTCACCCTCTGGTCTCAGGGCTCCTCCCAGGTGCTAAGGAGGGCTGGACAAGGAGGATGGGTGATCCAGGGGCCCTGGCCTGGGTGGGAGAGGCAGGGAGGGGCAGGGACAGGACAGGAGTGAGCCCGGGGGTCACAGGGAGGGACAGGAGTGAGCCCAGGGGTCAGGACACAGGGACAGGAGTGAGCCCAGGGGTCAGGACACAGGGACAGGAGTGAGCCCAGGGGTCACAGGGACAGGACAGGAGTGAGCCTAGGGGTCAGGACACAGGGACAGGAGTGAGCCGGGGGTCAGGACACAGGGACAGGAGTGAGCCCGGGGGTCACAGGGACAGGACAGAAGTGAGCCCGGGGGTCAGGACACAGGGACAGGAGTGAGCCGGGGGTCACAGGGACAGGACAGGAGTGAGCCCGGGGGTCACAGGGACAGGACAGGAGTGAGCCCGTTGGGTCAGGACACAGGGACAGGACAGGAGTGAGCCTAGGGGTCACAGGGACAGGACAGGAGTGAGCCCCGGGGGTCAGGACACAGGGACAGGAGTGAGCCCGGGGGTCACAGGGACAGGACAGGAGTGAGCCGGGGGTCACAGGGACAGGACAGGAGTGAGCCCGGGGGGTCAGGACACAGGGACAGGACAGGAGTGAGCCGGGGGTCACAGGGACAGGACAGGAGTGAGCCCGGGGGCAGGACACAGGGACAGGAGTGAGCCCGGGGGCAGGACACAGGGACAGGAGTGAGCCCGGGGGCAGGACACAGGGACAGGAGTGAGCCCGGGGGTCACAGGGACAGGACAGGAGTGAGCCGGGGGGTCACAGGGACAGGACAGGAGTGAGCCCGGGGGTCAGGACACAGGGACAGGACAGGAGTGAGCCCGGGGGTCACAGGGACAGGACAGGAGTGAGCCCGGGGGCAGGACACAGGGACAGGAGTGAGCCCGGGGGTCACAGGGACAGGACAGGAGTGAGCCCGGGGGTCACAGGGACAGGACAGGAGTGAGCCCGGGGGTCACAGGGACAGGACAGGAGTGAGCCCGGGGGTCACAGGGACAGGACAGGAGTGAGCCGGGGGGTCACAGGGACAGGACAGGAGTGAGCCTGGGGGTCAGGACACAGGGACAGGACAGGAGTGAGCCCGGGGGTCACAGGGACAGGACAGGAGTGAGCCCGGGGGTCACAGGGACAGGACAGGAGTGAGCCCGTGGGTCAGGACACAGGGACAGGAGTGAGCCCGGGGGTCACAGGGACAGGACAGGAGTGAGCCGGGGGTCACAGGGACAGGACAGGAGTGAGCCCGGGGGGTCAGGACACAGGGACAGGAGTGAGCCCGGGGGTCACAGGGACAGGACAGGAGTGAGCCCGGGGGGTCAGGACACAGGGACAGGAGTGAGCCGGGGGTCACAGGGACAGGACAGGAGTGAGCCCGGGGGTCAGGACACAGGGACAGGACAGGAGTGAGCCGGGGGGTCACAGGGACAGGACAGGAGTGAGCCCGGGGGCAGGACACAGGGACAGGACAGGAGTGAGCCCGGGGGGGCAGGACACAGGGACAGGACAGGAGTGAGCCCGGGGGTCACAGGGACAGGACAGGAGTGAGCCCGGGGGCAGGACACAGGGACAGGAGTGAGCCCGGGGGTCACTGGGAGGGAAAGGAGTGAGCCCAGGGGTCAGGACACAGGGACAGGAGTGAGCCCGGGGGTCACAGGGACAGGACAGGAGTGAGCCCGGGGGGTCAGGACACAGGGACAGGACAGGAGTGAGCCCGGGGGTCAGGACACAGGAACAGGACAGGAGTGAGCCCGGGGGTCACAGGGACAGGACAGGAGTGAGCCCGGGGGGGCAGGACACAGGGACAGGAGTGAGCCCGGGGGTCACAGGGACAGGAGTGAGCCCGGGGGGGCAGGACACAGGGACAGGACAGGAGTGAGCCCGGGGGTCACAGGGACAGGAGAGGAGTGAGCCCGGGGGGGCAGGACACAGGGACAGGACAGGAGTGAGCCCGGGGGTCACAGGGACAGGACAGGAGCGAGCCCGGGGGGTCAGGACACAGGGACAGGACAGGAGTGAGCCCGGGGGTCACAGGGACAGGACAGGAGTGAGCCCGGGGGCAGGACACAGGGACAGGACAGGAGTGAGCCCGGGGGTCACAGGGACAGGACAGGAGTGAGCCTGGGGGCAGGACACAGGGACAGGACAGGAGTGAGCCCGGGGGTCACAGGGACAGGACAGGAGTGAGCCCGGAGGGTCAGGACACAGGGACAGGACAGGAGTGAGCCCGGGGGCAGGACACAGGGACAGGACAGGAGTGAGCCCGGGGGCAGGACACAGGGACAGGACAGGAGTGAGCCCGGGGGGTCAGGACACAGGGACAGGACAGGAGTGAGCCCGGGGGTCACAGGGACAGGACAGGAGTGAGCCCGGGGGCAGGACACAGGGACAGGACAGGAGTGAGCCCGGGGGTCACAGGGACAGGACAGGAGTGAGCCCGGGGGCAGGACACAGGGACAGGACAGGAGTGAGCCCGGGGGTACAGGGACAGGACAGGAGTGAGCCCGGGGGTCACAGGGACAGGACAGGAGTGAGCCGGGGGTCACAGGGACAGGACAGGAGTGAGCCCGGGGGCAGGACACCTGGCGGAGCTCCGGTGCAGGGCTGCTCCGGTGGAGGGCTCAGGAGAGGTCCGGGCTCCCTAGGGCAGGAGGCGGACGGGCTTCTCTGTTGCTCGGCCTCAGTATCTCTAGAGGAGATTTGGGAGGAACTGAATCCAGGCAGAGCTGGTGGTGATGTGGTCTGTGAGGACTGGCCCGGGAAGGGGTGCTGGGGGGAAGGGGCAAGCGCCCGCCCCCTCCAATGTCCCACCCTGACTTCCGTCTCCAGGCTCCACCCCTAAGCCTCAGGCTCCGCCCAGGCCATAGGCCCTGCCCCCACATCAGGCCCCGCCCACAACACTCAGGCTCCGCCCCACAGCCCCATGCCCCGCCCTTCAGGCCTTGGCACCGCCCCATGCCCTAGGCTCCACCCCCACGGCCCTGGAGAGGCTGCGGCAGGCCGGATTGGCTTAGACCAGGGCCTGGGCGGAGCCGACTTGGGGACACACCCAAGACCGGAAGGGAAGTCTTCATCCCTGGAGCTGGGAACATGAGGGCGGGCCAGCAGGCCGGTGTGGGGAGTCCGGGCCCTTCGGGGAGGAGGAAGTGGGGGTACCACTCACCCCGCCCCCGCCCACCCTCCAGGACCTCCACCCGCCTGCCAGGGCCATAAAGCTGGAAGCCAGGCCTGGGGACCGGGGCGGTGCCCTTGTTAGCTGGGGCAGAGGGGAAGCTGCTGGGCGGGGGCCAGGGGCCTGGGGGCGGGGGCCAGAGCCGGGGGCCGGGGGGCGGGGGCCAGGGCCGGGGCACGGGGGGCCAGGGCCGGGGCACGGGGGGCCAGGGCCGGGGGGCAGGGCCGGGGCACGGGGGCCAGGGCCGGGGCACGGGGGCCAGGGCCGGGGGCCGGGGGCCAGGGCCGGGGCACGGGGGGCCAGGGCCGGGGCACGGGGGGCCAGGGCCGGGGGCCAGGGCCGGGGCACCGGGGACCAGAGCCGGGGGCCGGGGGACAGGGCCGGGGGCCGGGGGCCAGGACCGGGGCACGGGGGACCAGGGAACAGGGACAAGGCCGGGGGCTGGGGGACAGGGCCGGAGACGCTGGGGGACGCTGGGGGACAGGGCTGGGGGCCCGGGGCACCGGGGGACAGGGCCGGGGGACCAGGGAACAGGGCTGGGGGACAGGGGCTAGGGGCTGAGGGACAGGGCCGAGGGGCCGGGGGACAGGGCCCGGGGCCGGAGGACAGGGCCGGGGGCTGGGGGACAGGGCCAGGGGCCAGAGCCGGGGCGCCAAGGGGCTGGGGGATAGGGCAGGGGGCCAGAGGACAGGGACGGAAGACGGGGGGCCAGGGCCAGGGCACCGAGGGACCAGGGGATAGGGCCGGGGTGCTGGGGCACCAGGGGACAGGGCTGGGGACAGGGCCGGGGCGCTGGGGGACAGGGCCAGGGGGCTGGGGGACAGGGCCGGGGGGGGGGGAGGTCGGGGGACTGGGCCGGGGGCCTGGGGCCTTCCCTGGCTGTCAGGTGCCTGGCTGGCACAGGGATCTCTGGCAGGGCTACCTGCTGTCCGCCCCCACAAGGACGGGAGGCTTCCAGGGACCTAGCCTTTCCTCTCTCCTTGGGAGTCCAGGCCAGAGGCCACGCGTGGTGAAGTGATGGCAGAGAAAGTTTGCTACTGGACAAGTTGTCACTGGAAAACACCACTTCATCCCGGGGGCGGAATCCGGGACAAGGGGTGTTGAAAGCGTGGTCCTGTGTCAGCTCTGATCTCAGCTCTGGTTCTCCAGTCCCTCACTGATTAGGAGGAAGTCGGTTCCTGGGGGAGGCGCCCTGTGCTTTGGGGTGCAGTCTGACCGTCATCATCGGCCCCACATGGGGTGCCACTCCTGCAAAGCCTTTTCCCTCTCAACCACCTTTTCCTCTTCTCTCCTTTCCTGTGCGCTCCTGCTCTGGAGCAAGCCAGCAGTTTGCTCCCCCTCCCCCCTCAAATTCTTTTCTGCCTGAACCAGGTGGCTGTCTCCTTTTGGCCAACCTTACAGATAGTTTCAGTCCTTTGTCACATAGATGTTATAGATCAGTTCTGTTTTTTCTGGAGGTCATCAAAGTGTGAGAGAATAGCTTAGAGCAAAGAGATGCAAAGCTTTTATCCTGCTTTGCTTAATTTGTGGCAGCAAAAACAGTTTAAGTATATTATGCTTTGACTAGACTGAAAATGAGTTGTGGGTAGGGTGAGAACCCCAACATTAGCAGGTCGGGTTTGAGTACTTACTGAGATTGCCTGTGAGAATTTCCTAGCCTTAGAGGTCTGGTCTACAGGGCCGAACACTCTACCCCCGCCAAGAGTTGGGAAGCTTAGTATTTTTCTCAGGGACTTTACAATTTCATCCATTTTGAATTTCCTTTGTATTTCCTCTTCACTCATGCTGTGACACAGGCAAGCTGAAATCATGGCCAGAATAATAGTGTTATTGAGATAGAACTCATACACCAAACAATTCACCTCTTCACGTATTCAGAATAGAAGTGGCTTTTGGTATTTACAAATATATGTGAACATTAGCCCCAAAATGGAATCATTATCAAAAGATCTTCCAAATGCCAGCAATAAAGGCCTACTGATCTGTGTGCATTCCTGAAATATGTGCATGCCCCTTCCCTGAGAAATTATCTGAGAACCACTTCCAATACGCTAGTCATTAGTTCTTGCACTAAGGCTGTTTCAAAGCTCTTTATCTCGATTCTGTCTTCAAAAGTTCCTCTTTGAGTTGGGTGCTGGTGGCTCACGCCTGTAATCCTAGCTACTCAGGAGGCTGAGATCTGAGGATCGCGGTTCAAAGCCAGCCTGGACAGGAAAGTCCGCGAGACTTTTTTTTTGGGGGGGGGGGGGTCGTGGGGCCTGAACTTGGGCCTGGGCGCTGTCCCTCAGCTCAAGGCTGGTGCTTTACCACTTGAGCCACAGCGCCGCTTCCGGCTTTTTTCGTTTTGCTTATGTGGTGCTGAGGAATCGAACCCGGGGCCTCATGCTTTGGAGGCAAGCGCTCTACCACTGAGCCACCTTCCCAGCTCCCGTGAGACTCATCTCCAATAAAAACCACTAGAAAACCGGAAGTGGCGCTGTGGCCGAAGCCCAGAGCGCTGGCCCTGAGCTGAGGGTCAGCGCCCAGGCCCCGGGACCGACCCCCCCCAAAAAAAGTTCCTCTTTGACTGGACAGGGATGAAAGTGAAAAATACAAGTCCTGGGAGGAGGTGAGAGCCGGGGATGAGGGGACAGAGGGCACCGAAGGAAGGGATGCCTCCCCGCGTCCTGGGGTACGGCCCCTTCCACACCTACAGCGAGCTACTGTGTTCTAGAAGCCAAAGCAGCACCTGTTGAGAAGGAATCCGCCTCTAAGGTCTAGGGTGGGAGCCCACAGCCCCACCTGGTCTCGAGGGCGGGCGGGAGGCGGGCGCGGGGCCCCGGGCCCGGCCTGTGTCCGCCTCGGCCTGGGTCCGGCCCGGCCCGGAGCTGTTTTGCTCAAGGTCAGCACTCTACTCGAGCCGCAGCTCCACTTCTAGCTTTGTGCGTGCGCGCGCGTGCGTGCGTGCGTGCGTGCGCGCGCGCGCGCGTCTCCCGGCCGTCCCCCTCCCAGCGAGCGCTCCATCCTGGAGCGGCAGCGCCACTTCCGGCTTCCTGGTGGGTCTCTGGAGATCAGTCACGGCCTCTCCGGCGGGGCTGGCTGTGAACCGCGGGCCTCAGCCTCCGCCCTGCGTAGCTAGGACGGCAGGCAGGCGTGAGGCTCGGGCGCCCGCCCCGGCGCCTCTTCACGGTTCTGCCCTTAGCTTCCTCCCCGCGGCCCCCGAGGAGCGCCCGGCCCGCCCCCCGCTGCGCCCGCCCGGCTCTCCCCGGCCGGCAGCCCGACTCCGCGGGCCTCCGGTCTCCTAGCAACCCGGCGGCGTCCGGCCGGCGGGCCCCGCCCCTCGCACTCCCGGCATGCCCCGCGGCCCTGCGCGCACTACGTGTCCCACAATGCCCCACGGCCCCGCCCCGCTCCGCGGAGACCCCGCCGGGCGGCGCCGGGACCCCCGCCCGCCACCCGCGGCCTGCGCGGCTGTGCGGGCCGGGCGCCATGTGGAGGGCCGAGCGCCGGGCCGCCGCGGCCTCGCGGCCCGAGTCCCCGCTCCTGGAGGGCCGCCGCAGCACCGAGTCCGAGGTCTACGACGACGGCACCAACACCTTCTTCTGGTGAGGCGGGAGCCGGCGGGCGGGGCGCGGCGGGCGCCCGGGGTCGGGGACCTGCGCCGGGGGTCGGGAGGCCGGGGGCCGGGGTCGGGGACCTGCGCCCGGGGTCGGGGACCTGCGCCGGGGGTCGGGGACCTGCGCCCGGGGTCGGGGACCTGCGCCCGGGGTCGGGGACCTGCGCCGGGGGTCGGGGGGCCGGGGTCGGGGACCTGCGCCGGGCGTCGGGGACCTGCGCCGGGGGTCGGGAGGCCGGGGGCCGGGGGTCGGGGACCTGTGCCGGGGGTCGGGGACCTGTGCCGGGGGCCGGGGACCTGCGCCCGGGGTCGGGGACCTGCGCCGGGGGTCGGGGACCTGCGCCCGGGGTCGGGGACCTGCGTCCGGGGTCGGGGACCTGCGCCGGGGGTCGGGGGGCCGGGGTCGGGGACTGCGCCGGGGGTCGGGGCGTGCGGGGCGCGCCGCAGTCGGGTGAGGGCCGGGGTACCCCGCGTCGGCGGCGGGCCAGCCCGGCCAGGCCCCCGGGCCGCGAGGTCAGCGGCCGGCGCTGTTCGGACCGACCACCCGCCGCCTCCCGGGCTGGCCGCCCGCGCGGCCCCGCGGCCCGGCAGCGCTCGGAGCCCGCTCCTCTCGCCCGCCCCGCCTGGCGGCTGGGAGCGCCCCGGTCGCCCGGCTGCGGCGCGGACCCCGCTCCGGGCAGACCCGCGCGGCGGCCTGCGTGACCTTGGCTAGCCCCGCACCTTTCCTCACTCGTGATCCCGAAGCCAGAAGGCGCCCTGGTGGAGAGCACCGGGACGCGGGCGCCTGTGCGCGGACGGAGACCCATGCCATCGCAGGGAAGGGGCGGGATGGGGCGGAGGAGGACGGGCCGCCACACAGGTAGCACCTTTGAGCGGCGCCTCGCGAGTAGGGGTGACAGCTCCGCGGGGTACGGAGGGGAGCCCTGGGTGGACCTTTAGGTCAGTGCTACCCTGGGGTGCGGACAGCTTCCGGAGGGTGCGCAGCCTGGGGATCTCAGGTCTCTCCATCCAGAACCACACCCGGCCCCTCAGACAGCTGGAGGACACCAGCCTCCCACAACCGAGCAGGGGACTCCTTGGAGACAGTTCTGGAAGGAGTGGCCGGATCACCTCCCTTTTCCACACTCGTTTACTCGGCGAGGTGCTCTTGCCATCCGTGGGGGCGGGGGCTGGGACTCGGATCTGAAGGAGAGCTTAGACTCAGGCACCGTCCTGGGATCTGAGGACTGGGCCCAAAGAGTGACAGATGTGCAGCCCCAGAAGTTGGGAGCATAACCCTCCCCCGACGTGGTTACGGCTGGAGCACTCCAAGAAAGGCAGGTGCTGTCTGTGGAAGTGTAGACCAGAGGCTCTCCGGACTCTCCCCTAGGAGAGCTTGAGAGACTGGAGTCAGGAGAGACTGTGGGGCTGGCGCCCCACCCTGCTTGCGCCGAGGAGCACCTGGGGCTGGGGCCGGAGGGGAGGGAAGTCTTTCACATTTCTTTCTGGTGTTTACCAGATGCCTACCCAGTGAGCATTACTGATGCTCCTTGCTGAATCGTGTGCCACCACGCTTCTGAACTATCTCTCACTGACCTTTTTTTTTTTTAAAACCAGACAAGGTGGTACACACCTGTAATCTCAGCATTCAAGAAGCTGAGGCAGAAGGACAGGGAGTTTAAGGCCAACCCAGGCCACATAGTAAGACCTAATCTCAAAAAAGCTAAATAGTAACAGTACTCTTATTTTGTGTCTTACAGAATTTGGATAATGTCATAAAAAGTTAACACAGGTAAAGGGTAACGTGAAAATATTACCTAAAAATGTGAAGATGTAATCTAAAATTTTTGAAGCCGGCTGTTGGTGGCTCACTCCTGTAATCCTAGCTATTCAGAAGGCTGAGATCTGAGGATCGAGGCTCAAAGCCAGCCCTGGCAGGAAAGTCTGTGGCGCTGTGGCTCAAGTGATAGACCACTCACCCTGAGCTGAGCTCAGGGACAACACCCAGGCCGGAGTTCAAGCTCCATGATCAACCAAAAAAAAAAAAAAATTTTTTTTTAAATGACCTGAGGGTCCAAGGCCACCAAAAGAATTTCGCATGAACAAAGTCTGTTTTTAGGTTTTTCCATTTTCAAAGACACATGGCTTCTCTGGGGTTTTGGTTAGCCATAGGGAGGTCTAAGGTCTGGGTCTGAAGTCCAGTGGGGACTATGGGGGGACGGGGGGAGAGTGGTTTAGAACCAAAAATACTATGCTGAGCTGTATCAGTGCATGTGTCTGTCTGGAAGAATGTTGCAGACTACTTCCCAAGAGAAAGTAGAGTACCTATCTAGATCCCACTCCTCCTAACCAGCTGCCACCTACAGAGCTTGCTTTGTATGCATGCACTGGGGTTTGAACTCAGGGTCTTGCTCTTACTTGGCTTTCTTACTCCAGTCCAGCATTTTGCTGATTAATTGGAGGTGGAGGCTTTTGCTCAGACTTTGCTGCTCTGGCTGGCTTTGAACCTCAATTCTACAGGTCTCGGCCTCCTGAGCAGCTAGGACTCTGGGTGTAAGGCACCAGTGCTCAGCCTAGGGAGCCCTTTTTGTTGTTGTTCTTGGTCATGGGGCTTGAACTCATGGAGCCTGGGCACTCTCCCTGAGCTT